CTGATCGCATAGGTAGAGTGCTAATGTATTAGGATGTGCACCTTCTAGTCCCATCCACCATCCAATGAATGAAAACTCGAAGAACCATATTCTAATACGATTAGCCATAGAACTAAGCCATATCCACAAGGAGTCTTTGTAGCTCTAGCTATGGTTACATGAAAAACTGGATTGTTTCTTTTATAGTCATATGGACTAAAGAAGGAAGGAAGTATGCTCCATGCATAAGAAACGGAAATATCACCAAACTTGACAACGATCATCATAATACTGCCAGATGATTATTACACCACTACACTTTTCTTGGTATCACAATCCTAATGCCCATTGAATCAACATATGAATTGGTTTCTTATAGAAAACAGCGCATGTTGAGTTATGGCCCAGATATCATCTTGAGATGGTTTAGTTACCTTCACCTGAAATTGAACTTGGTATCTTATGATGACGATCAGAAGATGTCGATCCATTTCTTTCGGTTTGAGGTTTCCACGTTAGCCCTCTGGAGGATTTGAACCATTATCTTGTGATCTGACCTGTGGAGCACTAATCATTGTGCTATAGATCCACAGGTCAATAATTAATTTATTATAATTTTATATAAGATTTTTAATAATATTATTTTAATATTAATTTAAAACTCTAATTTTATAATAATAATATAAATCCAATTAATTAAATATAATATAAATTAAAAATTTATTAATTAATTATAAAAAGAATAAATTTTATAATTACATATTTAAATTTAAATTTTAGATTTTTTTTTAAATAATTTATAAAGTATTATTTATTACATTATAGGTTTATAAATATTAATTATATTATAATAATTTAATAAAATAATGTTTTTTTTTTATAATATAATAAAATAATGTTTTTTTTTTATAATATAATAAAAATATTTTTTATTTTTAAAAATTTTATATTAAATTTTATTAAAAAACAAATAGTTTAATATTAAATCAAAAATTTTTTAAAAAATTTATTTTAAAGTTTATTAATTTAAAATTAATTGTTGTTTTTTTTGTAATTAACAAAAATCAAAATTTTAAATTATTTTTTTTTCTAATAATAAATTAATAATAATTTATTAAATATATATATATATATATGTTTTTATCTTAATTAATTAATTATTAACTTATTAATAAATATAAAAATTGTTTTTTTCAATTATTTTTGTTTCACATTATATAAAACATATTTTTTCTTGTTTATTATTATTATTTTTTTATAAATTGTTAAAATATTAATTTTTGTTATTAAATAACATTACTAAAAAATTCTTTATTAGCCTTTTGATAATAAAACTTGAATATTAATCCAAGTTTTTATAGGTTATAAGACTTATAATAAGCTTATAGTTTATACTAAATATTAGGTTAAAACCTAGTATAGTCTTGTTTCTATTAAAAAATTTGGTATAGTATAATTATGTTATTGACTTAATAAGAAATTTTTTCTTTTTTAATTTATAAATTTATATGCTTTAAATATATTTTAATAATTTCTTTTAATTTATAAAACATAATAGAAAAATGGATAGAAAAGAATATTTTTTTATTCTAAATTAACTCATCACATTTTTATAATATTGTGTCTAAGAATATATGCACAAAACTTTGCACCACGCTGTATATATAATAATTTATTAAAATATAATTACGCGATAACATTAGTACAATCTATACACTATATGTATTGTGTATAAAATTTTTTACTCAATGGAATTATATATAATTTAAAATTTAAATAGTGTGTATTTAAAATTAGTTTTTATATTATTTAAAAATTTTATTTTTTTTTCATGAAAATTATCGGGTGTTACTGTGTTGACTGTATGCACTACCTCTTATATAACCCGCTTTATAACTTTTAACAACGGTCACATTTATAATTAATAAAGGTAACTTAAATAATATAGATCACTAACTAGAATTGTTCAAAAGTCGGCAGAGACTCTAATTTTCTACGAATGAATGCCTTGTGATTATCTTTCGCATTATTCTATAACTTTTCATAGTCCAATTTTGATTCTAATTTCTTAGCATCTCCGACCTTCCTAACAGCCTTCATAAAATCTTCGTGAACAACGTAATCTCTCTCTTCACGAATAGCAAACATACCTAGCAATGTAATTCTTTATTATGGGGCATTTGAACACATAATTCAAAAAAGATATCAATATGATGAAAGTCTTAACTAACCTGCCTCTGTGCATACATTACGCAGATCAGCTCCATTAAATCCATCAGATAGTTTCACGATGGCTTCGTAATCTACAATTATTATGATTAACAAACATATGCATCTTTTGACAGTCAACGTGCAGGAAAAACTTACCAATTTCACCATGTTTGGTTATTGGCGCTGAATGTATTTTTAAAATTTCGAGACGTCCTATTTCGTTGGGTAATGGAATCTCGATTTTACGATCCAATCGCCCAGGTCGTAATAAAGCGGGATCCAGAGTATCCGGTCTGTTAGTAGCCATGATTAACTTCGTTTGTCCGAGATAATCAAAACCATCCATTTGATTCAGAAGCTGATTCAATTAATATAAGGTCAACATGGATAGTGTACATGTGAACATATGTATATAATACTGAGTGCATAAAAATTACCTCCATAAGAGTCCTCTGAATTTCACGATCTGCACTGGTACCTTCGGAAAATCGTCTCCCACCAATTGCATCAATCTCATCCATGAAGATGATACAAGGTTCGTGATCTTTAGCGTAACCAAACATTTCCCTGATTAATCTCGCACTCTCTCCGATATACTTATCGACAATAGCACTTGAAACCACTTTCAAAAAATTCGTTTCCAGAGTGCTAGCCACAGCGCGAGCCAAGAGGGTTTTACCAGTTCCTGGAGGACCATATAAGAGAACACCTTTTGGTGGTTTAATGCCCACACGAAGGAAAAGTTCTGGATTCATCAATGGTAGCTCTATAACCTATGCATCAACGCATCATTGAATTATCTTATGAGTTAATTAAAAGGCTTTCAAATAAGTAGCACAAACATCGACGCGTGATTCACCTCTCGAAGCTCTCGAATTTGTTCGCTTAACCCTCCGATGCCAGCAAAATTTACTTTTCCAGG